TAAATAGGCTGACGACTCATTAATGAATGGTCTTGTTAACGTGGTTGTGAGATTATTGTCTTATTCTAAACGAGCATCCGATGTAGAGATGGGTGCTTAATTCGTACCAGCTCCGCCGATTCCAGAGCAGCTTCTGGTATGGCCTTTGATCTCGATCGTCTGGTCTTAATTACCCGAGAGATATATAATTGTAAGAAAAACTTGTTCTCGGCTTAACCCTGTACAGAAGTGTAAAGGCGCAGTTACGCCTCAGTCTCATGAACTTGCGTATAAAATTGAGACTTTTTTGCGACGTCTCGCAACCGCACCCTCTTTCATTTCCGCGATGACTTCTTAATATCATACAGGCCTTCCCGAACTTGTTGCTGCTCTGACCTAGTAGCAGGGCTCCACATAGAGCTTTAAGACAAGATATGTCTTCGTTATTAAAAAATGTGAAGTCAAACAAAAGTTAGTAAATCGCAATTGCTGTTCGATGACGTGAGTTGGTGCCTGGCGTGATGAGGCGAATCGAGTTCAAATCACTTTTTATAATGGTTCGAAACCGAAGATTAAGAGCACTTATGCTGAATGGCTAGCCTGCGCGATCAACTTAAAGGTCCCCATTGTGGTTAACGGTTCATGCAAAATAGAATTTGCCACAAAGATTTTATTGGACAAAGAGAGGGGGGCCCCCCCTGGGAGCAACCGACCGCACGGGGGGGGGCCCCCAGACAGACGAACACGAGAAAAAAGAGGAGGAAAAAAAAGAGAAGGGAAACAAATTTATTAATAAAATTATTTTTTTTTGTGTCTGTGTGTCTCTCTGTGTAATGTTAATGTTATCACAATAAAGGAGAGGAGGTGGAGGGATCACCACTGCCCCCACTCCTCGCGCGGGGGGCGGTGGGGGGATGGTATCCATCTCAACATCAGCAAACAGCCGGCCGTGTCTCTCCCCCCACATCACTAACATCTGTGTGAGTGATAAAAGGGAAAATACATAAAATATTTTTTTTTTTTCATTTCTTTTAAAGTGAAAATTTGTGGTAACGGGCTGCCCCTTACAGACAACCTACCGTGGTCTTGAATGAAGGCACGAACAAACGATGCTAACAAGATGGTCTCTTCTGCTGTACTAAGAGATAAAATGCTTTCTCTCCACTGGTAACGCCTAAAAAAACTGGCATTGTGTCATATACCTCCGCGAACAGGTGTTGTGCCGTTGTGTACCTTGCTTCGACGAGACTGACGTGGGGTGTCGTCTGCCATCTCATTGACCAGAGCCGTTGACGTCTGCGATGTCAATTTACTAGCCTTACTGTACGTTAAGTTAAAGGTATACCGCTGGGCTCCAGTGTCCCTATAAATACAAGCGATTTACGTCTTCTTGACGCTGCTCCGTTCAACTTCTTTCTCCACCTGTTATCTCGGGTCACATGTCAACAACTGTGGCATTGAACACTCCGCCTGTTGCTTTGGTATTGTGCCGTGTGTCCCGTTAAATGCCTTCGTATCCTCTTGGCCCGGTCTGCTGTCGCTCTGGCCGTCGCCCATGTCCTTCTCGTCGACCGTTTGATCCGTCGCCATAGTAGGCGGCCCACCTCGTCAATTTCTTCTCTCGGCGAATGCAGGTGAGATGGCGCCATCTCGATCACGTTTAGGGTTCTTTAGACCACATATGTCCCGTTTATACTCCTTCTTGATCAGCGTTATTACTGTGCCTCAGATTAGGGAGTACCTACCCGCTATTTCTTGAAGGAGACGTTTATAACAACCATGCGATATATTTTCCATGCCAAATTCGATATGACTCGTGTAGCACGACTGAATCATGTATAACAAAAGCAACAAATTGTAGAGATTTAAACACCATTAAGTCATTAACAGCCCCCAAAATATTAAATGAAACCAGGTTAGTGGCTAACACGTAATTTCAACACAATTGTAGTTGGAGCGACTCAATATAAAACTTGAAGCACAACAAAGTGTTGGTGATGCGTTATGCATGTGCTTTGGAGAGTAGATTAATATGCTTATATTTAGTTTTTTGTGAGTGTGTATAACAACTGTGTACACATGTCAAATCAGTGTTGTGTCTGACGAATTTTGTGTATGCGTGTTGCTTAACAATGTTGGTGTTGTACCATCGGAGAGGTGACCGGTCCGAGAACCGGCACGAGCAAAAGAGTATGCCAAGCCTGTGGGTACTCGTGTATAGTCTTCTTCACCAGCACTACCTGTCAGCAGTGACAGCCCCGACATTTGAGACCATGACGCCATCATAGATATAGGAAGAAATCTGTTGCTATTTCTGTTGGTAGAGCATTATTAATGGACGGCATGTTAAATGCAATGACAGTAGTAGAATTATGCACGAACGAATAAATCACTTTTCGGTTTGCTAATTCGCTATTAACACAACGATGCAGTTGTGGCCCGAACAAGTTTGTATCGTGACGTATGAGAAGATGAAGAAGATCGACTATGGGCATGACTAAAACACCACTCTTACACAATCAAAGCTGGTAGATTGGGCGAATTGTAAGTTCGTTCTCTTCAAGGAGCCTCATAAGAGACGGTCTATGGAATGCTGCGTGATCGTCAAAACTTCCTGCACGTGATGGACGTCGACCTTAAGTTTAAGCGGACCCTAGTGATCTTGTATCCTGCAGCCGATGAAGCCCTTGCGAATTAAGTGCAGCAGAGCAAAGCCAAGCGCGTGATGGTGAGAGAAGATCTGATCAAGGCGAGAGCGAAGCGATATGCAACTTTGATTGGTATTCAAAAAGACCAGCTGCTGTTGGGTTCGAATGGGTGGATTTCAGCTTTAGTTATAGGTCACGGGTTCGATCAGCGAAGCAATCACGATCTGAGCGGCTTTTGCAAATTCGGAAAAGATACTTGCGGAGCGCGGAAGCCATCCGGGAATATTCGAAAGAATTCCTCTTCCCGACATCTTCAACATGGACAAAAGGGGCTATTTTACAGCCCTGCGCCCGACCATATACAAACGAATAAGTAAGAGAATCGATGAAGAGCAAAAATCATATGACGGTTGATCGATTCGCTGCGCTGATGTCTCGGACAAACGATACACGTCATCATTGGTCACGCGTAGAAGCCGCAATTTTTAAAAAAAGATATGATATCAATTTGTCTGACTATCGCAGCAACATCAAGGCGTGGATGACCGGTGTCCGATTGCGAGAGTGGCATCATTATCTTGACAACGATATGGGGGCACAAAAACGAACCATCGTTCTCCTTCTCGACAATGCATCGATGCATACTTCTCATGAATTGAAGTTGAGGAGTGCGAGCGTTGTGCTCCTTTTCTAAACACGATCGCGAAAATGCAGCGCATGAACGCCGGTATTATCACCTCATTCAAGCGTCGATACCGTCATCGCCAGCTCGATCATGCTTTAATAATGAAAAAACAAGATTTACAGACCAGTTTTTAAACGCTTGACCAGCTAACGGCGATGAATTGGATATAATCCTGCTGGTGTGAGGTTCCAAGCGATGCTTTACTAAACTGCTTGATGTACACAGGGCCCGTGCATGTCCGTACGACCACTCGTAGATCACTCAATGACGCTGACGACCATCTGAACACCAGCCTGCTATCACAACTTTATCGGCTGCGCATCCGCGACCCGAGGGACCTGAACGACTTCATTTGCTGCACCGCCGAGGCCGACACGGGTATGGAATCGCTAACTGCCACAGCTCTGCTCAGCGAAGAAGCGGACGCTGGGGTTTTGATGAGAGCAGCGGTTTAATAGGAGTCGGAGTCGACAATAGAAGGGTTTCACAAGCCTGTAGACAGAGATCAGATTCGAGGGAAAGGTTAATGTAGTTCGAACCATCATTTCAGTGCTCGATGATTATACAGATCTAGCGAGACGTGTCATGGGAGGAATGCGTACATTACATTTCGATCATTTCCCCATATTATACATCTGCATATTGGACAAAGGCGTGATTTTGTTCCCAGATTAGTCCCGTGTAACGGTCGTGCCACGCCAGCGACCCAAATACCGGATAAAGATTATTAATTTGGACGGGATTATTGATTAACCATCAAATTTGCTCGTTATCAAGTTTTCCCTACACATTTCTATTGAAACGGAATCGTTGGATCGACTCTTTATCATATATAGCAATATCTCATGATTGGCAGGGATCGGATTAACCAGGGTTTGATTGAACTTCATGATGTCATTGAACAGCTGCCCTGTCATGTTAGCGTCGTGCCGATTGTATGGTACAAAAAGAAATTCACATAGTAAGCATCAATCGTTACCTCAACTTTGGCGTCGCCTGTACATGTGTCGCATGATGTGTGTGAAAAAGGTGTGCCAGTTTATAATTTTGCGCATGAGATGAATGCCTTGATGCGTTCGCTTTACGCAGCTAGCGTTGCCACTGCAAAGCTCTGACGAGCATATCTACAAAAAAGCTAGCACGTAGAGTGCCAAGTCGTTTGTCAGGCGTTCGTCACGTCCCAAGTACTTTTTGTTTGTCATTTGTGATGAAAGAATTGCGAAGGTAGAGTCGACCTAGCATGGCGTAAGATTGACTTCATGTGATAGTGTAAGGCGCACTTTCCAGTACACGGCACAATTGGTGATCCACTTTAACCGAACCAGGCACGATCGCAGCTGGCAGCAAGCGACCTCGTCGGATTAATAAACGCCGAACACCGAATATACGATCGGCCAACGCAGCACTGACCGGGGAACGTCGCGTGCTGTTGTCGTCAAAAACCTACATGATGTCATCTTGAACAGCCATTGTACAAGCCATCTACTTATTCACTTCTCATTACTCAATTTTGCGATCTCACTCCCTGCCCGCCCTCCTAGAGCAGGCCCGAAAGGAGACCGGAGGGTTTTGCCGCGGGCGTACTAATCTCGCAGTCACTAGCTACGGCAGCGTGCGGCAAGGTGAAAGGCGTGGTACGCGTGACCATGTTGTCGGCCACGGATGTAATCCACGACACTCGGTGCAACATGTGCGAGTGCCATGCGGCAGACGCCGACAAGTGCCAGAACCCGGTGAACCCGAATGCCACGTCGGGCACTGTCGCCCACTTTGGCGAGTGCAGCGATCAGCTCCAGTGCGTCGACTCGTATGGCTACATTGCCACGTCTCAGGAAAAAGGCCCCGTCTGCGCTGAGCGGCTGCACTGTCTGCAGGAGATGAACTCGGAGGCGACGCAGCCGGCGTCCATCTGCCACACGTGCATGTCGTGCATTGTGCAGAACCACGTGGCCGAGAAGCAGTTGGCGGCCGCCAAGCGCTTCAACTGTTCGGCCATTTGCCCGAAAGAGGTCCTAACACTGGGGCCGAGCGCAATGCCGCGGGCGTCGGGATCGCCGACTCGTAAACGGTCACAAGCTCAGCCAGTGGCGCAGGAGATAAGGACAATACCACGACACGGCCGGAAAACGCGACGACCCCGCGCGAGACGAGTGGATCGTCGATGGTGAAGCCGCAGACAAACATCGGAGCGATTGCCGCGGCGATTGTGGCCGTTGTGCTCGTTGCCGCTCTGAACTAACGAGGGAGACGAGCGAGGCAGGTAGACAGGAGGGACGAACGAATATGCGATCGAGACCTGGTATTAACGAAATCATAAAGCACTGCCATAGATAGCTGCAAGAGTATTCTCTTGTCGGTCGTTCCAGATGCCTCCCAACCGGTCGATCGGCTTTCAGACTCCAGGGCTTCACGACACTTGCAGCATCTCCAAGCGACGGACAATGTCGTTGTAGACGTAGCCCAAGCACCAGTCCCGCAAGCGTTCAGACTCGGTCGCTTGCAGACCAATGCGTCGCGTGATGGCCCGTCGAATCTCTTCGGCGTCCGACGCCTCGGGCCCTCCCGCACGTTCTTGGGCTGCGCCAGCGGACAATACGCTTTGATCGAGACGTGGCGCACTGAGAGCAAACCGGTCCCACTTCGCGTCGTACGATCATTGCACCGCACACGTTGCGGCGAATGGCTTTGCGGTCGGGCGAGGCGACTGGAATCGGGTGCAACGCGTCTTCGTCCGCATAGTCCCACAAGAGGATCCCTTCGTCTTGTCCACATTGCACGCGCGTCAAAACCCGCGCTTCAACGTCAATGTTCCCAGCTGTATCCGCTTCGTCGACTTCTTCAATCACGGGCTCCATGGACGCCACCAGGTCCGAGTAGTACACGTCCGAGTGCGTCAAGCCATTGTCCTCTTCGAGGTGCACTTCTTCCGACGCTCGCGCCGCGTACGACACGCCCGAGGAGTACACGCCGATGGTCTTCATGCTACTGGCGACAATGTGCATGAGCGCATGGAGCGTGCAGTGCACGGTCACGGGGAAAACAAACACGGACGAGAACTCCCTTAATCACGCGGCCGTCACCGGCATCGTCGACGAACGAGGTATACGGATCCTGACGGCTACTGCGGCGACCAAAAAGGTCCCGTGTGATGCCCCAGTCGACTCAATGCGCATCTCGCGCGCTGCCGCGTCCCGTCGTGCAAAATCCGAATGTTCGCCGTCGCTGTGCCGCCCGTGGCCAACAAGCGCAAAGTATCTTCTTCGGTGTTCTGGATCACAATGTTCCGCGCCAACTCCATCTTACTCCGTGGAAAGTGCGCGACGTACTCTTTGCGCCGCCCAAGAGATTCCGGGCCGACAAGGCCGTGAACGAGTGCACCGAAATGAACTCGAGCGTCTTGGAAAGCAGCAAGTTGCTGCCGCCCATCATGGCCCGCATGCTCCCGAGAAACGTCGTCTTGCTGGAACAGCTGGGCCTTTTTCAGCAGCTGATTGTGCTGCTCGGCCTGTTCCCGCTTGCGCCGTTGCGTCATCGCTTCTTCCTCGTACTTCATGAGCTCGTCGTTGTTCGCGAGTTGAGCCCGTCGCTGGGCTCGCAGAGTCGCCAAGTGGCTTGTTAGTTGACTCATCTCGGTCTGCAACGACACGACCAGACCTTTCTTCTTCTCCCGATGGCGTTGCACGCCCAATGCGATCTACACCGGCGTCGCTGCTTTTTATGTTCTTCGAGACCTGCCGTGGCTTCTTTTTGGCGCGGCAGGGAACACAACT